AGCATAGATTAAAAGGAAAATTGAAGAGACTAAGAAGCAGTCTTCCCTAATTATCTAGGTAGGGAGTATAGAGTAAGCTAATATAGTACTAGACTAGGGGTTGTTCTAGGACTTTAAAAGATTGGAAACAGAGATATATAGAAGCAACTATAGGATAATGCAGTGCTTTAAATGTTAATACTATAGACACTTAGCAGCTAAGTGCACAAAGACAACTAATACCTACTCCTATTATATAGGGGATTACTAGGTTAAAGAATGCAAAGTATACAAGAGAGAGGCAAGATATACATACTACACTAAAAGACACCCCTCTTAGGCGAAGGAATGCCTAGTAAGAATATAGGCAGCTAGGAAGGCAAAGGAAGCTAGAATCAATATACTAAAAAGATATACAATAAGCTAGGGCAGCTAGGTATAGAAGCAACCTAGCTAAGTACTACAAAAGAGGTCTAGATAAGATAATAGGTTCATATTTAGGGCCTTACTAGCATAAGAGAGTCACTAGCAACTAAGGAGACTAAGATACCTTAACATTGTAGGAAAGGAAGTAGGGTAGATAAAGCTTAGTTAAATATTAGTCTAAAGTAAGGGAAGACTAAAGGAAAACTTATAGGGAAATAATATAGATAAAACCTAATAAACATTGTAACATTACTAAACATTATATAGTACAATGTTAACAAGAGCAAAGACAAGGTACAGAGGAGCTTCCTTTAAGTACTGAACCTAAAAGAATATTACATTATTGCAATCTAAGAGCCCTAGCTTAACCTATATATAAAGAGACTAGCAATAGTCAAAGACCTAAGATACTACCTAATTATCTATAACTAGGGAGCCCTAAGGATATATATCTATATTAGCAAGGAGATAGATATAGAAACCTAGCAGGCTATACTATAGGAGGATAGGGACCTAATATTAGTTTAAGTAGAGACATCCTAAGGTATACTCTAAGTCTACTATATATACAACCTACTACTAGACTTAAGAAGCAGTACCTAACTAAAAACCCTAGAAAGACTACCTAGAGTTATCTAGGGGAATACCTACTAAATCCTACTTAGGGATTTCAACCTCTACTACCCCCTCTAAGGCTTAGACTTTACCCTAGCTTACTACTTCCTAGTAGGAAGACTAATTAATATATTAGAGAGGGAAGGAATAGAAATTGTTACCCTAAAGGGACTAATTACTTAGGAGGCAAGAGGAAGCAGTAGCATACTAGACCTATACTTTGCATTACATTAGATTAGGAACAGGATTACAAGATATAGGGTCAACTAGGAGCTAGAAGAATTATTAGACTACTTCCCGGTACAGATTAAGCTAAATGTCTAAGCTAATTAGGAAAGGGAACTAGAGGAGAAGCTTAACTAGAAAGGTACCTAATAGGATAGGATTAGGGAGGAACTAGAAAGGGACCTAAAATTAGAGGAACTCTTAACAAAGTACCTCCTAAGGCTAGAGGATATTAACGAGGCAGTAGAAGAACTAATAGGAATCCTAAAACAGGTAGCTAGAAAGTATACCCTAGCAAAGAAACATTCACTATACTAGCAACTATACTAGACTAGTAAGTATATAAGGAAGGTTAAAGTAGCAAGGAAGGCTAGGAGGTAGTAGATATAAACCTATATCTAGGAAGTATAGGACAACTATAACAAAGCCTACTAGGAAAAGAAGATCTAGATTAAGAAGGATAAGATACAAGAATAGAGATCTATAATAGGAATAATTATAAAGAAACTAGAGGAGATGTAGAGGATAGCTAAATAGGCAAGGAGACCTAAATAGGACAAAGATATACTACTACAATTCCCGGATATTATAGACTAATAAGGACAAATATAGACTATAATAGAAGGGAAAGCAAGAGCTCTAGGCTAACACTTCTTCTATAGAAAAGTATAAGCAGACCTATTAGATATAAAGGAGAAGGAATAAGAGACTCTACTACTAGGTATACTAAGAGATACCTAGGTCAAACCCGAAACTATTAAAAGGATCCTAAAGAAAATTCTAGACAATAAGGCACTAGGAGAAGACAAGATCTATAATAAACTTCTAAAAGCATATAGGAAGGGGCTAGCCCTAGTACTAGCTAATATCTTTTTATAAAGCCTAGCACTAGGACACTACCTAAGACTATTTAGGAAGTCCCTAATAGTAGTACTAAGGAAGCCCTAGAAGGAAGACTATACGCAGCTTAAGGCCTATAGACTAATAGCCCTACTTAATATAATAGGCAAGGTGCTAGAAAAAATTGTCGCTAAAAGGCTAACAACCTTTACCGAGGAAAGGAATATCCTTCCTAAAGGCTAAATAGGAGGAAGAAAGAAGAGGTTAATACTAACAGCTATAGAACTAATTATAGAACAGATTAAGTATATCTAGCACTATAGTTAAAACTAGGTAGCAACCCTCCTCTCCCTTAATATCTTAGGAGCCTTTAATAATGTCTCCTATAAAAGGCTCCTATATATACTTAAATAGAAGGCTATACTAAACTAGATAGTCTAATTTATCTAGTCCTTCCTATAGGAAAGGTCAATATAGCTTATTCTAGGCAAATTCAAATTAGACCTAATACTAACTAAAAAGGGAATCCCCTAAGGATTAATACTCTCCCTAATCCTCTTCCTTATCTTTATAGCAGACCTACTCCTACTCCTAGAATTAAGAAACATATTAGCATTAGGGTTTGTAGATAACACAAACATCCTAGCCTAGTCTAAGACAATAGAAACCAACTATAAGATCCTAGAAGAGAAGCACTAGGAGTATAAAAAATAGGTAAAGAGATATAGAGCAAAATTCGCCCTAGAAAAATACTAGCTTATCTACTTTAGCAAGGCTAAATCAACCTATAATATAAAGCAATCAATTACTATCTAAGGCTTTAAAACCTAACTATTAGTAGAGCTTAGGGTACTAGGGATCTAGCTAGACCTAAAACTAAATTAGGGACTATAAGTAAAGAAGGCAAAGCAGAGGGCAGATACTAATATGCAATCTATTAATAGGCTTATAGCCTCTATATAGGGGGCTACATTCGAGAAAGCTAAAGTTATATACAAAGCAATTGTTAAGCTAGCAATACTATATAGAGTATAGATATAGATAGCCTAGGAGAAAACACTAAAGAGGATCGAGTAACTAGTTAGTAGGTCCTAAACCTAAGGCCTAAAGAAAATCCTAGGAGTATATAAAACTACGCCTATAAGGGTAGTGGAAATAGAATTAGGGATCCTACTAGTTAAATAATACTTTAAGGGACTAAGACACTAATATATAGCAAAGATAATAGAATACCTAGCCTAACAGACTATCTAAAAGGCACTAGATAAGATAAAAGCCTAGTACATTAGGACTAGGAGGCGAGATAGACTACAAATAACTCCCTAGAAAGTTAAAGACCTAGAGCACTATAGAGTCTTAATAAGAGAAATACTAGAGAAAGAGCCCTAGGGACTAAATGTAAGGCTAAAGGAAGACAAACTAAAGAGAGAGAAACAAAGCCTAGCAGAATTAATAGCTAGATACCTATAGGAGTAGGAATAGAACAAAACACGAGTTAGACTAGGAACCCTAAAGGCACTAATCAAATTTGGTTAATATAACTACTAGCTCTATAAGGACCTAAATAGGGCCGAGGCAAGCCTAGCTATCTGAATTAGATCTAAATATATTAGATTTAGATCTTACCTATTTAGAAGAAACGTTCTAGGAATTGAAAGCAGGGCTTACTAATATAGCTACTAATCTTAGAACCCTAAGTATATACTGCTAGTCTGCCCTTAATAGTTAGAAGGTAGAAGTAATTAGAGACTAAAAGTAATAGAAAGGGAATACGATAAGCTAATCTAGAGTAAAGAAGACCTAAAGAGGATAGTAAAGTAGATTATTAAATAGGGATTTATATAACAATTCGTACTAGTAAGGGAAACTAAGGAGTAGATAAGAAGGAGGGAAGAAGAGGGGGAAAGAAGGGTAAGGTAGCAGGCAAGGTAGTCAGAGGGTAATAACTATAATACTAGTATACCCTAGAGGAAGGAAAACAAGGAAACGAGGAAGATTAACACTTATAAATAGGACAGGAGGGAGGTTTTTACTAACTAAGTTGGTTTCCTACCTAAAACAATACATAGAAACAGACCTACATAGGCCGAAAGGCACTATAATAGGCAAATGAAATATCTATCTATCTATCTATCTATATTTACTTAATCTTTTATCTAATTTATTAGACGCTACCTATAAGATTACTATAATAACTAATTATATAATATAAAGAGCTTAGTTTAACTAAACGAACTAACTATACGATACGAGTTCTAGAATAAGGCTCAAGTTATTAGATTATACTTTAACTACGTAGGAAGAAAATAGTTCCTAGTAATAGAGGCTCTATATAAAGGTATATAGACCTCCTTATAGGGTTTCTATAGTCTAGATTATATAAAGATATTCTTCGGGGTACTCGAGGTATAAAGCAAGACTTTCTTATATATAGTATAGATTTAAACTAATTCTTTTTATTATTTTAATAAAGTACTATATAAGAAGTTAAAAAGATTAATTTTTCTTTTGTTTTTATATAAAGAAGCCATAGCTACCTTGCCTTAAATAGAAGTTATACCCCTTTCTATATAAGCTAAGAGGATATATAACGCGTTAGCTTAGTTTTATAACTATTATATAACTTCTTAGTATATAAAGAAGTTTTATACTATATTTCAGCCTATAGAATAGACAGAATATAGGCAATTGACGAAGCTATTCTTATCCGGCAAGGCAGTATTACGTAAGTAGTCCACTGCGCTATGCGTAATAAAAAGTCTCCGCGACGGCCGACGAAGCGAAAGCCACCCGACCTGCCGACGCGCCAACCTCCGCAATTAGCTGAGGTGCACGACGCGCTCACCTCTCCCTTTCATCCCATCCCATCCAGCGCACATGAATCTCATCGGCGCACACACATCTAGTCGCAGCTAATGTTATCACCGCCACGTCTGCGAGCCGCCGACGACAAACATCCCCAGACGCAGCACGGCGCGCACTCGCCATCGCCGCCTGTGCCTGGGCCCCTGCCACCGCCTTCGCCACCCCCGTCACACTCGTCGCATGCGCCCTCGCCAGTAGCAGCAGCAACACCATCTCCACCGCTCTCGCCTCTTTCGTATTCAGCATATAACACCGTCTTGCACACCCTGCACTCCCATTTTCGCAGTCTTCCCGAGCAAGGCGCAAATCAACACCAGGAATTCAGCCTTCCGTACCCCGCCTTTGAGCGCCTCTACCAGCGATACCTCGACCCAGACTCACGACAGCCAGCGACAGAATTCGACCACTGGTGTGCGCAGAAGCTGCGATGGGATTACGATCCCGAGCGGGAGAAAGTGGTTCTGCGAATGCCCAATGCTATCCACGAGGTCTTGATTGAGCGGGTTCGCGGCGCGATTTGGCAAGGGAAGGAGGAGCTGGCGAGTGAACTGGAGAAGAGCCATAACGAAAGAGCCTGCGCCGAGGTCGCCCACACCGATGTCAGTGGCGGAGATGCTTCTGGGAATGGCAGTGGCAGTGGCAGCGGCAGCGGCAGCGACAAGGTCGAAGGATGCCGCTTGCCTGTCGCAGCCGCTCTAACAGCAGAGCTCCGGAATGTCGACTCGACGGGCAGCACGAACTTGAGATTTACGAACGAAAGCGGCGCACAACCTAACAGATACGAATACAGCCCCGACGCGACGTTCACACATCAAGACGCACCATATCCAGCCCTGGTTCTTGAGGTAGCGTACTCGCAGTCGTCCAAGAGCCTCAAAAACCTCGCATACGACTACATCGAGAGGTCCGAATGCCACATTGCTTGCGTGGTTGGCATCCAGCTTTCATACAACGAACCTAGCAAGGGAGGCGCACTCGATTCAAAGCGCGATCAGACTGCGAACTTCAGCATCTGGCGGTCAGCGCTTGACGAGAATGGTGATGGCTACTGCGAGTGTGTCTGTGACAGCGTCTTGTTCCGAGAGGCGGATGGCACTCTGCTAGCCGATGCCCCGCCTATCGAGCTCCGCGTTTCCGATATCATCCCGTCATCGATTCTGGATGATTGCTGCCCTCCAGATCACGAGCTTCGAGGCGCTTTGTTCGCCACCATCACTCCGATACAACTCGGCGAATTTCTCGAACGGGCTGAGAAGCACCAGAAAAGCCGGAGAAGGCGTCCTGCGCGCCAATACGGACAGGCGGGGCAACGCAGGACAAGAAAGAGGCAGCGCACTCCAGAAGAGGAGCTTTCTGATGATCGAGAAGGCAAGTACAAGCGACTCGAGGATGCGGCCTGGGCTCGCGAGAAGCAGGAAGACGGAACATACACCGGACGACGTACTCGAGAAGCACCAGATGCGTCGACAGCTGAGCCTACCCTGCAGCTGCGAACGAGTCAACGCTTGAAAGAGAAGTATAGGGAGGGATGAGGTGAGGGAAGCAAAGAGAGAGAAGGGGTGAGAGAGAAACAAGGTAGTAGAGAAGCAAGGTGGTAGAGAAGCAAGGTGAGAGAGAAGCGAGGTAAGAGAGAAGCAAGGGCAGAGATGAGGTAGCAGATCGGCACACGTTCATCAGTATACGCCTCCAAATTGTCTTACATTCCCGAAGGAGATGTCCCATCAGCGCCTTCTGCATTGCTAGTCTAACGCCGTCTCACGTTTGCCATCGCAACCAAAGGCAACCAAGCAAGGACTGTAACGAGACAACCATGGCTGTTCTTAGGCACGTCGAAAGATGTCTATAGCCGGAAGAATGGATTGTAAGGTAATAGGTATCAATGTAGTCGCTATAGGGATCTGCAAACTAGTACTAGAGTAGAAGTAGAGATAATCGGGGCCTAGTAGAGCGGTTCTTCGGGTATTGTAGTGTCTTATTATAACGGCGAAAATCCCCTTATATACTCGAGAGCGGTACCTAGTCGTAACGATAGGAAAGATACATTTAGTATAGAGCTAGATTTTAACGGAATTCTCTTAGTTAACTATTAATAGAAGTTTGTCGGCGTATAAAAGATATTGTATAGGCCTATCTAGTATCTGATAACCTAGCCGCATTTAATCTTAAAAATAACGAAGCCGAAGCTAGCTAAAGTACCTCCGACTCTACTATAGTATAGCCTACCTTTCCTTCTAGTTACTTATAATAATCCTAGTTAGATAGAATAAGAGATACTTATAACTAATACCCTCCTCGTATCTATCTCTCTCTACCTTCGCCTTCGTTACCCTTCTAGGATTCTTCTATTATCTTACGCTACTACGTATAAACTCTTATAATATAAAATACTACTACGTATAGTAGAAACTACTAAACTATCTATATACGTACGCCGGTTTCCTACCCTAGTACGACGTTTACCTCTAGCTACCTATTCTACTACCTCTAATCTAGTTAAGTTCGAATCGAATGTCGTATATCGCTAGTATAATACTATATCTAAGCTAGATTAGGATTAAGTATAATAAATCGCTCGAGAGTACTATAGGTAGGCTAAAATAGGATCGATACGTATACGAACTACTACGTATACCCTTTATTAGGTCTCTCTATATATATAAACTACGTTTACCCTCTAATACTACTACTCTACTTTCGAACCTAGTAAGTTACGTCGCTAATACTATATCTATAGGAAGCCGGATTAAGATTAAGCGTAGTCGTAAAATAATTAGTAGAGAGTAGGCCGGCTAGCTAATATAGATAGTATAATAGCTTAGAGTTATATATATAGGAACTACTCTTAACGTCTAGCGCTACTCTTAGCGCTAGACCCCGTAGTAGTTCGGGTTGGTTTGGTTTAGTTTGCTAAGCTAAAACTCTAGTTTAGTTTAGGTTGGTTTGCTAAGCAACTATATAAGTAGCTAGTTCGAACTATATAATTTATCGGTTTTTAAGAAGTGTACGAATGTATACGTAGCTTTAAGCAAGCCCTTTATAAGACTTAGTAGTATAGCCGGTAGCGTAGCCGGTATTTTTAGTCCTTAGTACTTATAGAATTTTCGAATCCTACTTAGGCTACGTAGTTGTATAAAGGTACTTATATAACCTCAAATCTATAGACAATTAGCTAAGGGCACTAACTAATTAAAAGCATATATATATATATAAGGCATTATAGTTCAGTTCGGAAACTACACTCCTTAGGTATAAATTTCATCCTTTCGTTTACGGTTTAATTCCCTAACTGCTTAGTAGAATGTCTTTATCTAGATCTAGGTAGAACTTATCGATTTCCGTCGAAGCTCTCCTTAAGAAGTTCTAGCACTTTCCTACTATACTATACTCTAATATTAAGTACTAGAATAGCTCCTCCCTCGATATTAGTACTATATACGAAACAGCTATAAGGTAGCTCTATAGGGCGTTCTACTAGTTACTCGCTATACTACGGCCGAATACTAGTTCGTTCCTTAGAACTCTAGGTTATTTAGTAGATATTAAGGATAGGGTAGGTAGTAACTTCGTATTATATAAGGAAGTAGAGGCTACTATAGAGGAGTCCTTTAACCTATAGAAGATAGTAAAAGATATAGAGGCAGCTATAGGTCTAGGTACCTAGTTGAATTTCTAGTAGGTAGAGTATAAGGATATTTAGTAGGAGTATTAGGTAGAGTTGCGAAAGCAGGTATATAATATAGTCTAGAGAATAGGGATAATGCCTATAACTATAAGTATTAGGTTCTTCAATCTTCCTCCTTTTTTCCTTGTTTTCTTTTTATAAAAATCCAAACTAATACAAATTAACTAGAATATCTATCTTCTTTTAGTTCTTTATAAGACCTAGTAGCGTAGCCGGCAGCGTAGCCGGTAGCGTAGTCGGCCTTTTTACTCCTAAGCACTAACGGGTTTTTCGAAGACTTCTATTCTATACGGCTAATAAAGCATACTATACTGTATAGGTATGCTTAGAGAGTATTTAGAGCGCGGTATATAGCGCCGTATAATAGCGGCTTATTTCGTATATAGAAAAGCTTGTAGACGATACTACGAATATCCTTCCTACTAGTATATCTATCCTATCTAGTACTATCTCGAATATAGACATTCTAGCCTTTTAGAATCTAATCGAGTGCTTTAAAATCCTTGTCTATAATCGTTATACGCTTCGCGTAGATAGCTATAAGGTTAACCGCTAAAATAGTATTAGTATAGTCCGAAAAGAGGTAGAAGAGAAACATATATTCGAAGATACGAACTAGGTAGGCTTCTATAGCCTCTTAAAGGGCGTCTATCGCGGAGGCTTAGAAGCGAAGGTCCGTTCTATAAACCTAGGCAATTTCGCGAATAAGTCGTCGGAAAGGAGCTTTACGGATTAGGAGCTTAGAACTCTTCTAATACTACCGAATCTTACGGAGGGCTACGGCTAAAGAAGGATTAGTAAAAAGACAGTAAGAATACCGGCTACGCTACCGGCTATAAATAGGACTTACTTCCTAGGCGCTATCGACGCTTCGTACAATTGCTACTAGTAGCAGAAGCGCTAGTTATCGTCTTACGTAGAGCCTTGCCCGCCGTTGTCTTACGCGGAGCCTTACTCGCGACGCCCTTTCTAGTACCGGAGCTAGCGGCAGTAGTAGCAGCCCTCTTACGTTAATATACTATACTCGTTCTATTATTTCCGGTCTTATTACGACCCGTAGAAGCAGTAGGTCCCTTCTTGCGAGGCGTCGTAACTTAATTAAGTAGACTCGGTATTGTAAAAGTCGTCGAATTAAGGAAAAAAGTGCGTTACGAAGGTATACGAAGGCGCGCGCGGAGCGAGGGTATTACGGAGGTAGTAGATATAGAGCGTAGAGGTATAGGTATCGATACGAAGGTTAAATATAGCGAGAGAGGTAGTATCGCGGTATCGCTAGGTAATAGAGTAAGCTTCGCGTAAGCCTATATTATAGTAACGTTAGAGCAAGGAAAGAAGGCAGGTACGGCTAAAAAAGGCAGGTACGGCAGACTTTGAAATATAGCCGGCATATATAGCCGGTATAGTAATAGGCGAAAGCCTCCTTTTAATAAATAGCCGGTGTAATAATAGTATCCTACTATAGTATAGATATTCTTTAGTAATGCCTTTACTAGCTATAGTAATCTTATAAGTAACCTAGGCCTATTGCTAGTAAATATGAGAAATATTAGGTAGGCTATACTAAATAAGCTAGTTATTTAGTAGGAAAAGGCCTACTACCGTCTCTATATACCGGCTACGAGTGCCGGCTATCGCTCTAAATTCAACTCCGCCCTATCTCGGAGGCTAAGGTACCGAGCGGAAACCCTATAGCTTATATTCACTCGGTTATCGCGGAGCGCTTATAGGTAAGGTATTAGAAAAGAGTATAAAAAGTACGAGAAGAGTATCCTAGGATATAGGTCGTAAGTAAATAAGAGTAGTACGCCTAGTTATTTATATAGTACGTTACTCTATACGACTAAGAGCCTATATTATCTTATACTTCGCTTATAAGACCTCGACTCTACTAGTATACTATCGATCTCCTCCTCGGTCGCTAATACGCTATCTTAATTCTTCTTCGAGTTGCCGGACTTAGTGCGTATCTATAGCTATACAATAGCGCTACGTATTATAGAGAATCAACTCCGCCGTATCTCGAAGGCTAAGGTACCGAGCGGAAATCCTATAGCTTATATTTACTCGGTTGTCGCGGAGCGATTATAGGTAAGGTATTAGAAAAGAGTATAAAAAGTACGAGAAGAGTATTCTAGGATATAGGTCGTAAGTAAATAAGAGTAGTACGCCTAGTTATTTATATAGTACGTTACTCTATACGACTAAGAGCCTATATTATCTTATGCTTCGCTTATAAGACCTCGACTCTACTAGTATACTATCGATCTCCTCCTCGGTCGCTAATACGCTGTCTTAATTCTTCTTCGAGTTGCCGGACTTAGTGCGCATCTATAGCTATACAATAGCGCTACGTATTATAGAGAATTTCTCGTTAAAGTTTCTCTCTCGTAGGCTTACTATCTACCTCGTAGTATAGAGGATTAAAGTGCTAATACTAAAGAATCTCCTTATAGTTAGGATACTAGGGCTTCTTAGGACCTTTGTGTTTTAGGTCTAAATAGAGACGTATTATAAACGTTCTATCGCCCTTTTGCTTACTACCCGCTAGGTCGCGATATACGAAGAAACTAATCTAAATGTAGCTCGTCTCTATAATAGCCGGGTAAATATAGAGCGCTAGGTTTCTACTTCGTACCTTAGATTTAGGGACGGCGCGGAGATAAAATCAGAAATATAGCCGGTACCTATAGCCGGCAAAAGGATGCGAAAATAGGCCTCCTCCTAGGTTAATCTAACGACTAAATATAATTTCTAACTAACCCGCTATAAACCGACGCCGAATTTTAGCTAGAAGCTATATATCTTTATTTTAAAGAGTAACCCGCTTCGTATAGATAGTAAGGAGGTTTAAAAGCTTAAGCTCGGTTACGAGAAATGCCTCCGTAGCTTCCTAAAGAGTACTAATCGCCTTAGCCGTAAATCGCATACTAGACCGAAAATCTAATATAATTTCTCGGACGAGTCGCTAGAAGGGAGTCTTAGGGATTAAAAGCTCGGTCCCTCTTTTGTTTT